GCTAATATGATTTTTCATTTGACTATCAATAAAAATTTTCATTTAATATTAAAAGAGGGAAAAAAGGCAAATCCATTGATTGGAGTACTACTCATCTCAGATAAAATTTCCTTCTTTCAAGCTGCTAATTTACCTAACTGGATATGTATAGTTGTTAGTTCTCATTCCAGCTAGTACTATATATACTCGTAGCATAGGAAGATTCCGGTTTCCACTCATAGTAAAGTCGATAAAACTTTGATCATATTTGGAAGGAGTTCTTTATCTTATCCATACCAATATATAAAATATTGGTTTCATTTACCTAAATTAGTAGGTCATGTTTTCTTTGGTTATAAGCTAATAAAATATCTCTAGCTATGAGCACCATTTCTAGGTTTTGAAAAGAATCAAAGCTCTACCATTTTAAATGGCTCCTTTTCGATCGGCTTCTTATCACCAAAGAGAAAGAAAAGAGTGGCAAAAACTAGTAATATATAAAGGCTCCTCCATTCCATGCTGAGCTGCACCAACCGCTCTCATTTCGTTTCCACGTTCAAGCTATAAAATTCTTCATTTTCCTCATAAAACTGGTTAAAGTATTCGGTAACCAATCCCTCTTAAGCATCTAGCCATCTATAGGAATTGCTAAGTGAATGTTGCACTGTAAAGTCTGTATTAAGCAGACCTAACAATTTTCTTGTTCTTCTTTGTGGTTTAATTAGTAGACAATTATTGTACTTGGAAATCATTTAAGTATCTAATTGAATACTGCACATGTTGGATTTTAAATCTGACATGACCTGTTATACCTATCTCAACAGAGTGAAACGACCAGATCACTGGTAGATATGTATGAAAGTATGAATTGATATTGAGAAAATCATTTGGAACCAAATTAAAAATTTTCATTCATAACCTTTGCAATTTGATCAGAACATTAATCAAGCAGGGAAACAGTGAACTTAACTAGTATTTAAAGAACTGAAAAAAGAAATTCGATATGAGCTCACTGCTGGGATATCTGCTAGGATCGTGATAGTTCTAATTCCAATTGTTATACAAAATGCCATTAATTAATTGAACATTTAAGTTAGCGAAAATATAATCAATTAATCACTCAAAATATAATAATTTAATGTTGTTTAATGTAATCGTTTATGTCCAAGAGAAAAGATCCCCTAATTATAAAAAATTATAAATTATCAACAAATCAATCAATCACTTATTTTCAAATAAAACTCATAAACTCTCTCATTTTCTTATAATTTTATAAAATATTTTAAATCGAAACAAGTATTCACGCATACCCATATGGCTTTCCATATTTACGTGAATTATCTTATTTTCCTCTATTCTATTAAAACATACTCATCACCTTGTTAATCTCTTCTAATCCTATAAAATATCTTTCTCATAAAATCTTATAACTTTTTATATCTTTTTATGATATTTAACATTATAGAGATGCCCATTATTTATTAGCATATAAATTTATCTATTAAAAATTTTATTTTCTTATAAATCTTTTTTTTTATCAAACAATATCTAATCAATCTAAAAAAAATCTTAAACAAATTTTTTATGCGATTTGAGACAATTCCAACAATGTTCAATGTCCCTTGTGCATGAGTGCCTAAGTTTACGTATGCATAAAGATGAAGGTGCATTTGCAACATTTGTCAAACCAAAGAAATTAACATTGGAGAGAACTTCTCTCTCAAATAAATTTGTGTAGGCATTCTATTTTCCAGTAAATTGAAAAAAAAAAAGAAAAGGAGCAGAGGGAGTTAGGATTCCAGGCTAAAACTCCTTCAAGAAAATGAGAAGATAACTAACAGAGGAGACTGGCAACAATAGGAGTGCTTCTAAATTTTCATAAACCATTGCACATATATATTCTTAATAATTGATCCATTAGTTACTGAAGGGATAACCCATTGCACAAATTCTGCTCAATTTGGCACTTATTGCATCTGACATTTATTTTGTCAACAACACAAGTTCTGGTGACAAAATTTTATTCCTATTATCAGACAGACAGCACTATCTATGTTATGTCCTGATGCTGATGACTATTACCTCTTTACTACTTCAGATAATTTGCTGATCAGTGATGTTTCGGATCTGGACCTCCAGGACTCTGGCGTTTTGATTCGTACAGATTCTTCTTCGTGTATTCATCTCCCAGTGGTATGCTAAACTGATACACTTTCCCTGAACCAACAGTAATGGACAATGCTTGAAACGACCTAATTGTGTTCCTTCGCTCAATATATGGATTAAGAGAGCGACTTTCAGACCTTGAAACTGCATACAATATGAGTATCAAGCATGCACAAAATCGCAAGCTAGCCATAGCTGGTATTTACTGTGCAGGGTCCAAGATTGGGGGAGGTGGTATATATAGGACAAGAGAAATACTACTTTTAATTAACTAATCATATTGGTGAAAAGAACCTCCAAAAGCATGATTATCATGAAATCCAGTGTGCCTGATTCATAATCGCAGATTGTTGCAAATGTGTGTGGTTGTGTATGCTTCAATTTGTCTTTTGATTAATGTGAGACTAAAATTTTCTAGGCGTTTAAGAAAGCCAAGTGGCAAAACTTTTCTCCTTATCCAATGGGGAATATCGAAGACTCACGTCTTTCACATTTGAGTAACTTGGGACAAATTATCCACTACATCAAAGTGGTGTGCTGACAAAACCATATGCTCGATTCTTGATTGCTATAACTTTGCTATTGTCATAGGTTGAAAATTATTGTAAAACTAAGTCAACGATCATGTAGGCCAAGTTTGTACATTTCATATCTGATACTCGAGCAGGTATTTAAAAAATATGCATCTCATTTATCGTGGTTATATTATATTGTGATAGTAAATTTTTTTAATTTTATATAATTTATTATAAAATATAATAATTAATAAGATTATAAAAAATTTTATTTTATAGTTTTTAAAATAATTTATAAATTGTCATGCTCTTTTTCATAGAATATTTTAAAAAATGAAATCGATAAAGTAAAAAATTATAGGTGTTAAAATTTAAATAACAAATATATTAAATGTTAATTATTAAATATAATTATATAAATCAATTGACCTATTGATCTAAATTTTGAATTTAATTTTTTAAAAAATTATTATAATTTTTTTGAATATATAAATTAAATAATTAAGCTATTAAATAATACTATTCAAATAAGCTATTAAATAATGGAGGACATTCTCAATTATTTTAAGTTAATTAAAAATAATACTAATCAAATAAAATTAATCTAATAAAAAATCCAACTTAAAAAAGGAATTAATAAAACTTAAAAAGAAAAATACAAAAACATATATTAATAAATAACAAAATAAATTTATTAATTATTTTATTATCTTTTCTTCTGACTTACCATTCCCTCCCACTAGCAGTATCCCATCCTCTCAAACTCACTCTCCCTCACCCATGCCAAACCTCTGTCTTTCTCTCTCAAAATCCACCAAGACCAGATCTCACGCAGTCATCACCCATGCCTCCTCCCTGTCCTCCCCTTCTCCAAGTTCCACCAACGCCATGCTACCTTCTTCGTCGACCCAAGCGGCCAGCGATGCAACCGTTGAACCCATGCCCTCACTTTTGCTTCCTCTGACTTTCAAGATCCGAAGTGAAGTGGCCATGGATGGATCTATTCTTCCATATCAAGTCAGTGGCTTGCAAGATTTGTTGATTTTTTACTGAGTTGTTACAGACCTAGGATTTCCTTTTTGTTTTGGAATTTTTTTCTTTCGGTAGTTGCGGCTATTGTCCGTTACCGGTTATTTTGCGGCCGCGACATGCCGCTATGGTCGGGAATCTCAATCACACTCTAATATCGGTGATTCGCGGTGGCGGATGGTGCCGTAACCGCAAAATAACGGCCGCCAACACTTCTACAGAACCGCTATTTGAATCCATACGAATGTTTCGATCAATTTACACTGTAATATTATGTATAGGTTCACTCTATATGGTGAGAAATGAAATGAGGCTGTTTGGCTGGAAAAAGAAAAATGGCGAAGAAAATCTTTGAGATGGAGAAGAAAATGTGGGCTTTTGGAGAAAGAATTTTTAGTTCAAAATTGCTTTCTATAGCTCTGATAGTCGAAGAAGCGGGAGCTACACGAATCGGAGCCCTTAAGTCAGGTTCTTCAGATTTGGATTTTAATTAGACATTACAATTTGAAATATGATACCATAACGTAATATCAAAAAATAAAAAATAATATTTTATAACATTATTTAAAATTTTAATAAAATAAAAATTATATATTTTTTATTTTTGTATCAATACAAATTATGATACATAATTTTTATGTAAAATATTATACAAATTTATAAAATTTTAATATTTTATTTTACACAAATTATCAATTTAATTTTAATAAAATTAATCGATGAAATTAATTTAATTCTCTTAATCAATTTATTATTAAATTAATTTTGATTGATAATAAAAAAAATTAAAAAATTTTGAATTTCAATTAATTTTGTTTTAAAATTAAATTAATTAAAATTTTAATCAAAATATAATAAAACTTATATATATAACTAAAAATATATGAAATTCATTTCATTTCAAATTATTAAAGTTTTTAATTTAATATTTTAGTATTTGAATCTTTTTATTAGATGATTTTATTTAATTTATTTTAAATATAAAAAATTTAAATTTTAATTTAATATATTTATCATTCAATTAATCAAACCATCAAATTAATTTTAATGGATTAATTTTTTAAATTAAAATTTCAATTCAATTAATAAAAATAAAATGATATAATTCGATTTAACATTAAACGGTTCGATCAAATAATCACCCGTAATTTGAGTTACTCGATCCTCCGATGTGGGCTAAAGCCCGTTACATAAAATAAGTTGTGGACTGTTTTTGTAGTATTGTTACTATGGTACATATTTTGGATCAGCTTTCAGGCTCATTTTTGAAGTTCCAGTAAGATTTTTTTTTTTTCTCAAATTAAAAATGAGAATTATTTTTAATTTTGTTTATATAATTTCGAAAAAATTAATCATTATTTCTCTATATAGATTTACTTCGAGTTTTACTTCAATCCCCCCCATTGGACTCACCTTCTATATATAGAATTATTATATAGAATTGGAAATTGGAACACAAGCCAAGCTTAAAATTCCTGAAACTTTATTTAAAGCATAACAGTATTTTTGTTCACAACTGCAGGAAACTTGAACTTGGGATTCTGTTCCAGGAAAGCTGGAGGTCGCTGGTAGACCACTGAAGCAGCTCTTATCAAAATCCCAGCAGTTAAACCCCATATTAAATACTTCGTATCCTCAGTTTCATAGTCAAAGGAGTGAAGAAGATACTTCTCTCCCATCCATTCTCTCTCTTCCGCGCTTCGGTTTTCGTCCTGAACCAAACAATTCATACAGAGTATTAAAAAGGGTAAAACAATCAGAAGACTAGAAACAGCTGAGGAGAAAAACCTTAATGAACATTTCCAGGGGAGCATCGAATACTGCATCCACTTCCGCAGGATTTGGAGTAGGCTTGAATGCCTTTTTGTCGTTAAGTATGCCAATGACAGGAGCTACTCTAAGAAGATGCTGCACGGAAAACCAATAATTTATAAATAAGCTGTATACAACGTAAATTTCAGCTATGCTATGCTTCTTTATATGGTTTTAACCAAAGATCGAGAAAGGTATGTCATATATTTTATAGCAGTAGTCAAACACAACTTCTTTTTCCAACCTTTCCATCAATAGTTTCATGTAGACTTGATATTTGTAAGATCAGACTTAAAAGATTTTGTTCATATTGATTTACAAACAAAAAGCAGTATATGTTCCAATAAAACTTGTCCATCTAGTTTTTATGTCATTTTATGCAACAAAGAAAGTTAAACAAGCTGAAACACAGTCAATATTTTTAGTTGAGACACTATCCAATGTAAAAGTTCTTTTGCATCAATACATGTCATAGTTTGAATGAAAGGTACATATGCTGATGGGAAGTAACGGTCTCATATAATCCTTTCTTTGGCACAATGTAGTTGTTGTGTCATCCATCCACAGCGAGTAACTACCATGATACACAAAGAGGATAGTCCACACTAAGCAACATATAAGTACAATTTTTATTTTAAATTAGATCAAAGTATATATGCTTAAAGATTATTATTCTCATCTAAGGACCAGTAGAATCATTTCTCTGTCAATTGATTCATGTAGAGAAATTCAAATTATTTCAAGATATCTATCATTAACAGAAAGAACTAACAACAGTCAAATCACATTTCTATAGTAACTTACATAACTTAGGTTGGAAGAGCTATTACAATTGTTAGATAATGAGAAGAGCTATTAAATTACCCATGTGAGAAATCACGCCTCAATCAGGTAGGTAGCTAAAATAAATTAAATGTCACCTTTCTTTTTTTCCAGTGTACCAGCTTTGACTCTCTCTTCCTGTTTTGCTGGAATTTTTATATGGGGTAGTACTAGGTATTCTCATGTGTAACATCTCTTTCCAAACATAACCATGAGTTTCACACTTTTAGTGATAGAGAATGTGTCAGAAGGACAACTCCTAATACTTTAGACTCAGAGATGGAGCTATGCAGATATGCGTTTATAATATCCAGTGATCACAAATGATAGGTTTCTGAAGATTTTGAATTTGGATGAACAATTTTAGGTCAACAAATTTGCTGCACACCTAACAGTCTATCATGCATTATCGGAGAGCCTTCTTCACTTTTATGCTAAGTTTTGAAAATTGAGTTTAAGACACAGACACCCACAACAGCCTCCAACAAGAAGTTAAGTCTGAACTTCCAACAAATATTACCATTGGTATAGAGTAGAAAAACGTCAAAATCACCGAAATGAGAACTGATTGAAATCAAACTAATGCCATTTACAAGTGGAAGAATGGTTGATGAAAACACTAAAAAGAGCTTAAAGAAATATTTCAATACCTTAGACAAAAATGGTTCAAGAACGGTTACAACATTCACAAGTGAAGGATCCAACCCAATCTCCTCTTTAGCCTCTCTAGTAGCTGTCTCATCATCATCTTTGTCCCCCTCCTCTGCTTTCCCACCTGGCAATGAAACTTCCCCTGCAACAAATTGCCAAAGACACACTAAGTCAAACAATTAAGTTCCACAACAGAGTCATCATCACCATCCAGTTTACATTTGTTAGCCGCATAAAGGGAAAAAAAAAAAAAGGAATCAAAATCCCAATCTTATAAATGTCAATACAAATATCAATAAAACAAACTTAACTCCTGACTTAACTGAACCTAAAGCAACTAATTCAAATGAAGGTGAAGTGAAACACCGATTCTTTCTTAGGAAACCAAAATATAGTGTCCAACAATATATTCTTTCTCTTTCTATTTCCTAATACCATTTGATTATAACTCAATCAAGGACACAAACTTCATCTTGATTTCACTCCTTAATAGCTTTAGTTGGTTCCTAACACTAAAAAAAGAAAATGTACTGTAATGATCCTCACATATTCAGAAAATTTAAAACTCAAATGATTGAGGTTAGATATCTTGAAAAGGATACTTTCTGCTCTTTGGCTTGAATTTTCTTACTAACCAAACAAGGGGCCAAAAAAACCATCTACCTTAATGACAAGACGATGCAGTAGTCAAACTTTAACATTTGGTTCTTAACAAAGAATAACATTACTTGAACTCAATCTGAAAGTGAGCATTTAAATAAATTAGAGTAAAATTCATCCTTCCCTTCCTAATAAAAAAAGTTTCATTCTTTTCATTTTGTTTTCCTAAAAATTTCCCATTCAAACAATCAAAGCTCATCCCAAATCCTCTTTCCAAATTGAGTAGACAATTCAAAAAATCCAAAAATCAGCATTTGAGCAACTATCAACTTTCTAATCTTTTAAGAAAAGAAAAGGAGAATCAAACTGACCCGAATGAGTAGTCATTCTTGAAGCCCTTTTGGTCAATATGACGCGCAGATCCCCAGCATCCCCTTCAAAGAGACAGATCAAAACAGCAGCTCTTTTGGGTCTAAACTTTTCCAGGTTTCGGGCAACTGGGGTAACGGATTCTTGAAAACCCACTTGCGAAACAACTTTCCCTGCAGCTTCCTCAATGATTTGTTCCTGGTTGTCGTCCAAGGAACAAGGTGGGGGCTTGTAATGACGCAGCTGCTGGGCTAAGGCTAAGAGTCTCTGCGATGCAAATGAAAGTGATTCGGCATTCAAAGATGTTGATGAAGCCATGACGTTGACAGATGGCGGAGAAAAGAACCCAATGCCCACAATAAAAAGTGCTAGAGAAAAGGAGAACACCCAAAAGAAACCAGCAAAACACCAAAAATTTCCTTTGGGTTTCTCAGGACTTAAAAATAAACAGGCAGTCAGTATTTAATTCCATGCTCTGAAGTTTTTACCCCTTAATCTATTTGCCTTTTTTTATCCGATGGTGCTTCTTAAGTTTGTCAAGAAGCAAGCCGAAAGGGGAAAAAGGTAAAAATAAAAAGCTACATAGCATAAATAAGTACTAGCAGACAGAGATGAAAATTCTTTGTCCTACAGTCAACAGACACAAAATAAATGCATGAGCATGTTCAGATGATAGGATAAGAGCGAATGTGGCTTAATCTCTTAACCCATTTTTATTACTATTTGATTAGTTAATTTTTTTATTTTAATTTGTGAAAAGAGGTTTGAGTTTTGTCCTTTAAACAGGATCATGAAACGTGTTCGAATACATATGACTAAATTACATCTAATCTAAGGAGATTTTTAAAAAAATAATTAAAGATGATCTCGAATTAAAGTAAATTTTTATTTATTTTAAATTTATATTTATAATATTTAAATTTTATTTAATTTGATAAATTTTTTATATTTTGTACATGTATCTAATCCAATCAAATATTATATAAAATTATAATATTTGATTTTATTTGAAATTAATAAAATATTTTTTAATATAAATATCAAATTAAATAAATATAAAATATTTAAATATATATATAAATATAAAATTTAATAAATAATTAAAAATAATTATATATATATCAAATTGAGTTGAAATGAATTTATCTAAAATTCGATTTTAATTTTTTTTATTATTTTCGATTTAATCCGATTTTTTTTTTTCAAAATAAAAATTTACGAAATTGAATCCAGTCCAAACCGTTGAGAATAGTTGGACTGTCATATCTACAGATGACTGATGCTCCATTAATGACAATAATTACCTAGCACACCAACCACACAAAACCAGGCAGCAACTACTGCATATTCATTTTTGGATTAGCAATCAATAAATACTTAATTCAATCTATTAAAATAATTTTTTTTAATGAAAAAAATTTAAGTTTGAATTTTATCATATTATTTATTATGATCATTTTAAACATATGATTTATAATTATTTATTTTAAATTATTAGATATAATATTTTAATTTCAAAATTTAATAATTTATTTATCTTTAAATTTTTTTTATCAAAAAAAAATTTTGGATTAGGAACAGAACTACCCCAATGATAGATAGAAAGAGGCCTTGTAGTGTATTCCTCTTTTGGTGATTGCAAATAGAGCTTTTTGATGATTTAAAATATAAAATAATAACATGATGTAATAATAAGATATAAAAATGATATGTAAATAATAATATAAAAATAATATAATTTAAAATTTTAATAATAATTATATATAAAATTTTTAATAAAATAATAAAAATTTAAATTTAAATATATAATTTTTATTTAAAGCATTATATAAATATAAAATTTTAATATTTTATTTAAGATAAATACACAAACTATCAAATTTAACCTCTTATTAGATAGTCAAAGCTACAAAACTTTAATTTCGTTGGAGGGGCATTAACTCCCAAAAAAGGGCCAACAGCTAGGGGCCTCCAGGAAGCTGGTTGTTGTCTATCAAGAATCAATTAATTACTTGGTCCCAAGCTCTCCATTGCAGAGGGTTATCTTCAATATAAAGTTGGATCAGATCCCATTAGAATTTATAGTAGTTCAACTAGAACAAGAAGGTTGGCGATTACCGGGCCGCCTTGAAAGAGCTATAAATTAAAGCAACCATTGATAAAAGCTGAGCAACTTCAGCCAACACCAGCTCCCAGCACAAATCTTCAGTTCATTAGGAAGGGATCATATCTGACTCTTCAGTCTTGATTCCAATAATGGGGGAAAGGATACTTGAAATTCTGCTAGACAACTTTTTTAATTTCTTTTACTAATGGAAGGAGAAGATGGTATCAGAATCATACAAAGTGAATTTGAATCGGGATATTTATATTACCAGAAAACATATTCTCTTTTCATGATGATTGAAATGAACACAAAAATAAGAAAATGAAAGAATCACCATTTGTGTCACAAAACCAAGCCATTCTATAATTTCTGTTCTTATGCAAGGCATACCTTCGCCAATTCATGTACAAAAAGCTAGAAACAAAACCATTGTACAAGTACATATATTTTTCAACACCTAATAAAAGAAAATAGGATGTGCTCGCTTATAGCCGGTAAGTTATCGGCAACATGAATTTTGGGAAACCAAATGCTTTGGCTTGCTGCTAAGTCACCAGTATGTCTTCTTTTTTATTGTTCACTTCTTCAGCTTTAGTGCTTTCTCGACGTGCAGGCGGTTTCTCAGCACCAGGGTAAGACAACCTCCTAGGTTTCATGGTTCCTTTCCCGTCGGACAGAGGGGGTTTAACCGAAACTGATGCTTTTGGTTTGGGTGAATTTGAGCTTTTACCAGCCTTGCTTATCTGTCTATTCTGCGCTTTCTTAGGGGTGATGGAGTGAGTAGGGAGGCGGCTTTCCCATGGGCGAACAGCAATCCAGCGTTCCACCCAGCTCCAACCCCAATTAGCTTTAGCAAGTTCATAATTACCAAGCCCATTATTGGTAGAGTTCGGGGCCCTCCACTGCAAATCATGCATATCCCATCATATAACTTTCGCCAAAATAACAAAAAGTACAGCTTCTGAGAATGGCATACCTGATGGGAAAAGGCATATGCCATAGTTCGCTCCCGCTTGACAGCTGCTTCTTCTCTCTGCTGTATTTTTGTAAGAACTGCCTCCATTGTTTCAGGGCCACCAGACCATTCCACCTGTCATAGATTTAAACTATTATTGAGAGAAAGAGAGAAAGAGCTGAACACGACAGCCTCAAGCAGGCAGATTAAGAGGTAGAAAAACAGAGATATCTGGAGGCTTTCAACAGGATGTAGGAGCACCTAGGATTATTTGAAATCAAGTCAAAATTTTATACACTTAGACAATGAATAAAACATCAAACATCTGAAACTATAAAATGCTAATGATATTATAGATCATTAGGACATAAAAATTGCTATTATAAGAAAAGTACAGAAGGATCAAGACGTCTCTGAAACAGAATGAATCTTCATCCAATAATTCCACAAGCAGCTTGCAGAAACAGAACATAAAAGGATCCAGACAAATTGTTACAAACTGTCAGGAGCATCAAATGAGTCTGAAATATACAGGAATTGGAGTCTCTACATGATAAGTTCCTCTTGAAGTAAAATTCATATCAGGAAAGCTGATAAAGGAGAAAATGGCCCCTAAGATACAGATATATAAAGATGGCACACAAGAATTATAATGCAAAAAGAATCAGAAATTATTTAAGCAACAACTGAAGAGAATTCGAAGTAGATTACTCAGTCATTGCAGTCAAGATTAAAGGCTGTCATAGATTTTAACCTCAATAGTTGGTCTTCTGATCTATGCTTATGGTGATTTGTTGAGATTTTAGTATAACAAATTATAGCAAAAGATTTCTGCAGAAAATGGACAGGTGACTTGGGCTGAACAGAAACTACCATGGACGATACATTAGAATATGCATGCCAAAAGACCATTCCTACTGATGTCCAGTGTCAAAACTTCTCCCACTCAAATCCTCCCAACCTCTTAAAGTATACAGACGATTATATGTAAAACATGATCCCACGGAAAATAAGGTGATGCTAATTGTCCACAGTAGTAAGACGATTAAAATTGCAATCATAAAACAATTCACATGTTTAAGATGAATAGCCTTAAGAAAGCTTGCTGTCAAGATCTTAGTCCATGCAAGTTCTCATGAGCCAGGACAGTTGATCTAACCTCTAGGTCATGTAGTTTCGCCTCAAGCTTTAGCTGAGCCATTTTTTTCTTCTGTCTAAGACGGCCTTCTGTTACCATACAGAGTCGACGAGCTCTTATCTGAGCCTGTATGTTGCTCCACGAATGAAGATAATTCAATGTTGTTGTAGCTTGTTGTTTGATGGAATAAGTTTGGGTTTGAGCCTGTAATCTTACTATACCTTTCAATTGACGTAATTTTTTTCTGGCCTGCATCATGAGAAAAGAAATTATTAAACCATTCTACCAAGTCTTGGGTTAACATCTATCTTATAACCTTAAGACACCTGCAAGTGGATTAAAAAGCAAAAGAGGAGAATCAAAGCCATGCTGCCATTATCAACATATAACAGAAATCAGAAACAGGGGAGATATTTAAATACATGTTCATGACATCAATTAATAACAAATACCAGGTACCTATATCATTCCTCTATTTGAAAGATTTGCACAAATAAACTTAATGGTTGCTGCTATTTCATGTTGGAAAGACTAGAGAAGGTGGCTTCACCGGTCATTCCAACTTGGTGAGTCAATTAGCTAAGAACGATGCATTAACACACCGAATCTTGTACAATGTGTTACAGCTACAGGGTTGAAATTCTAGAAAGTTCTATCACCAAAAGTAAATGAGAATCGGGTTGTATATGACAACTAGACTTTATGGGGAAGCAAACAAAGAGAGCAAGAAGATTCCTTTTGGCATGATGCTATAACAAAATAACTCCATAGTGTACAAACCATCTTTTATCAGGTTAATGAACTACTGTATGATCTTAAAAGAGGTAAACATTCATTTTTAATAGTGTAATATATTTATCTACAGAGGAATGTCTACTATCCATACTCATAACCAATACATAGACAATAGTAGTATTCGCCAAAATTTCCTAAAAGACAGGAATTCTTTTCAACAATACCATACATATCCAAGATACATCATCGTGCTATTTCTCTAACAATAACAGATAACAATTTGAACTAGAAGAGTTTCTTGATTGCTTTGTGAGGAACATCAGTGAGACAACCGCCATTGCAAGCAAAGGCATATATGCATACAGAATTACAGATGAGTAAATGCATAAACATAAGCACATGTGCTCTCATATGTTAGTTTATAGAACTTGCAAATCAACATACCCTATAGCCTCGGAATGCAGTTTGAATCCGAGTTGCTGCAAAATCCTCAATTGGCATGCCAAGAGTGTTGGAATTTCCACTAGTAAAACTTGTTTTAGAGGAAGCCTTCTGCTGGCGTTTCTTCCATTTGAAGCCATTGGATTTTGTAGAAGCTGAAGATCCCTGTGCCAAACGGATGAGACAATACAAGGTAAAGGTTACCTCAATAAAGAGATCAAATAAATGATAAAGTGAACATAGCAAATGGTACCACGGAAGGTGGTAGTGACAGTTATGGTGAATAGGAATTGGGTGTTCATGAGAGATAGAAGTAATTAAAAGCTTCAAAAATATCATTCCAATGGTAAATAAGATTAACCTTCCAACAGGTTTGGATGAAGGATAACATTAATCCAAAATATTAAAATTGCATATTAATTATTTGAGAAGCAAACTCAGATTTATTTATAACTAGAAAACAGAAAGTTGTATAGCTTAGTTTATGATTGTTAGTAAAAGCTTTTGGAAGCTAGTATATACCTTCACTTTCTTTGAGCTGTCATCTTTTACTATCTTTATTATTGTCTTCAACAAATTTCCAGAACCCATTGCTGATGGTAAGTGTCTGTATTGAACTAAGCATCAACCTGACCGTATTTTCAACGCAAATATAATCAGAAACAACAGCAAGCAGAAACTGGAACACAAATAATTCAGTTTGGTAGAAGAACATGCCAGAAAAGAAAGATTTGATTTGAAAGTTAGAACATTTATTCATGGAAAGTAACTACCAGTTCCCAAACTCAAGAAGCAAGCATGTCACCAAATGAACAAATAGGCAACTATCAAAGTCAACCCCTCTATCCACTAACAGAAACATGAAGACGGTATTGTAAGAATCTGAAAATTGCAGCAGCAACATAAACCCCATCATATCATAAACCAAAGATTTGATTTTCAGAGGAAAAATTAGTTTCTAATTTGGACTCCATGAAAATTCACTTACTAATACTAAAAACATCCAGAACCCAGATCCCAGTATCCTTCCCAATCATGGGTATCCCCAAAATGCCATTTTTTTCCTTATGAAAGCAAACAAAACCCGAAGCAATAAGAAACCAAACTAAAAATATGGGAAATTAATGACATACCAACAAAGCTGTCAAAGGAGGTACTTTTGGAGGAAGGAAGGCACTGAAAACAAAGATTTTGGAAGAGTAAAAAAGGGAAAGGTGGTGACAACAATAGTACAAGTTGTAGTAAAGAAGAAGGAAAGCCTGAAATCAAAGAAAAGAATCATAAAAGGGTAGGTGTGGAATGTGGATTACCATGGCCCATTACCAGCTTTTCCTCTATTTTTTGTTTTGGTCTCAAAAAGAATAAAAAGCTGATCTAACAGAAAAGAGAGAAAAAAAAAAAAAGAGAAATCATATTAAAAATATGTTTTTGATATCTCTCTCATCAATCAAGGGCTCAACAACTGATATGAAGAGCTGGGGGGTTTGCCACAGTGAGTGTTGGTTGCTCTTTAGATTTTTTTTCCTGAGAAAATTCAACACAAGGGAGATGGGACAGGACAACAAACATGACATGTTTTTGATGTAGATAGGCTGTGCCTATGTATGATTGACTGGTTCCTCCCACAACATTTGTTTCTCTAGATTTTTTTTGGAATGTGAATTTCTGATTTGTCTGATGAAATCAAGAGAGTTAACTTGACGTTGGGTTCTTTCTTGGATAATGACTGGTCAGATTTTGAACTGGTAAACGTTAACGTGGTTTACTGGTTCACGCATCGTCATTAACTGACTGATTACTGATTGATTGGTTATGATAAAACGATAAATTGATTGGTCCCGGCGGGGCTCGAACCCGCGACCTTCGGCTCATAAGACCAACGCTCTAACCAACTGAGCTACGGGACCCGATTGAGATTTTGGTCAACCTCTTATTATTTATTTGGGTAAACTTCATTCTTGCTTGTACTGCTTTCTTGTTTCGACCAAATTTCTCTATAGTTCTTTGTTTCGTCAAATTCAATTTTTTATTGGAAATTAGTACAAACGATAAGAATTGAAAGCTTCTTAACATGATAAGGTTAACAAATTACAAGATATAACAATATATTCATATAGAAAAATGTATTATGCATCAAAATATATAGAAGGAAAATTGTGGAAAAAGGAAAATTTCTAGCTCAAATCAGGACTTGATCATGAAAGTGGTGGTCACACTTTTGAGTTAATTGTCTTTAGTCTGCATATGGAAAACGACGTCAACATGTAATAGGCAATGGGTTGCGTAAAACAAGCGGCATTACCTACGGTTGAAGATTTTACACCAAATCGTTGGAAAATGTTGGTACATGCCGTAGACTTTGGAACTATACTTTTTCTTATCATATACCCATTTAAGAGCATATAAATATCTCTTTTCATTCATTTCCAGAGAACTGATCAAATTGCATCGATTGATATTGAAAGTTCCATCAACAAGCCACCCAAGACAGGGCTCGACCCTTTGGTCGACATAGTCTCATTGCCGATGTTCACATACAAGCTAACCACCAGTCAGGTTGATCATGATGATGATGAGCCTACAGAATGCTCCGCTTGTTTGGGAACCATCATGGAGGAGTCCACAGTCAGGCTTTTATGTGGAGTGTATAGAAACGTGGCTTGGGTCACACACAACTTGCCCCATATGTCGCACCGTGGCTGAGCCAACGGTCCAGTCAGAGGACAAGGAATTGGGCAGCAGGGTTCAACCCATGGCTCCCCTGTAGAGGAAAACGCGTCCCATGTTGCTGTCCAAGTGGAAAAAGATGGTGGACCATCATGACCAAGCTCAGGGTCACGATATCGTCAAGTAAGATTCAAAGTAATGGAGATGAAGTTGGCAGTCAAGATTTAGAGAGGCACTGATGGGTAAACTCATTTTATAATTTTTTATCTTTAAATTATTATTATTATTATTATTATATTTAAGTTTAGAACCTTTCTGAGTGCAAAGAATATATGCAGCAATAAGATATGTGAAAATCAATGCATTAGTTTTACAGACAGCACTTGTAATGAATCCAATGCATGCGGAATAATTGAAGTAACAAAATTTTTTGCTTCAAATAATTGTAAAAATATATGGATTTTAAAACTAATAGTATCAACCATATTATACCATAATAACCAATACTTAAGACATACGATAATTATACCATAATAATCCAGGCTTAAAATCAGAATAAGACTAAGCTCACAAAATTCAACAATAATATTTATATTATCAATACAAGATATATTTATGTTGAATATTTCGATATTGAACAGATTTTATCTCTTAGCTTGCATTCCTTCCGTCTCAAATAAATCACTGATTTAAGCATAGGACATGCTTATTCTTAACATTATTATATAAGAAAGGACATAACAGATTTATATACCTTGGTCACAGGCAAAAAGATTTATTTTGATATTTAATCTTGAATTTATGCTAAAATGTGGAGAAGGACAATTCATGTACTTGTATATGGAAAAAACTGAAAATTTTTGTATTTATATTATGTTATACACGAAAATTATGTATTATAATTAGTATCAATACGAAAAAAATAAAATACATTTTTTTTGTTTTTATTAAATTCATATATAATTTTTATTAAAATTTTAAATCGTATTATTTTCATATTTTTTATATCGTATATATTCGTATCATGTTATATATCGTGTTTTAAATTTTTAAGTTTAATTTATAATTTAATTAATTGTTTCTTTTTTATTTGATTTTATATATTTATAAACACTAGGCGTTTAATGGATCATCTTTTATGGAAAACAAAGTCTAGAATTCACCTTTTTATAAAATAAAAAAAAAAAAAAAAAGTCAATTCTTTAGTAATATTTTGTCATAATATTTTATCACTTAAATATAGAATTAAGAACCAAGCTGAAACCACATCCCGTCAACTTCTGTATTGAATATTCAAGAATCAAGATAACTTAAAGTTTCAACTTTATTGTAGATGACTTTTCCGGATCATGAAACTACGCGGAATTATGCCCATCATTTCCGTGCAATTCTTTGGTAGATTTAAAGAAGTCTGAGCATAATATATATTCATAATTCAGATATGAAAAGCAAAAGGCAAGTCCATTTTTTTTGTACTTCAAAACAATATGAAGTTTCATAACCG